TCGTCGTCTTTATAGAAACAGACTGTCTCATCTTATCCCCACATAGCAGCTGGTGGATTAGAACTGCCAATCTTTCAGTATGCAGTCCATTCACTTAACTCAGTGGGTCACCAGGGTTCTGGTAAATAGCAACAGAGACCATTTAGCTTATAAAAAAATATTTACTATCTGGTCCTTAATGGAGAAAGTTTGGTGAAGCTTTATAGGTCCCTGGAAATCAAATAATTTTAAAAAGCAAGTTCAGTAAATCTGGAAATATTACAGGTATCAAAGCAACAGCAGCTCTGTCCCTCCTATATTCAAATGCAGGAAATTCAGAGAAGCATCTCCAAATTATTTCATCTCTGGTACAGAGCTATGACATAGAAATAACATTTTAAAATATGTATGAGAGGGCTTCAAAGAGCTTGTAGAAAAACTTAACTGTAAGATAATGATTTTCTTCTCCTATGAACTTTTTGAAGCCCCCGCACACAAGGATAGTTCTTCTCTAAAGAAGGTACATTATTTTCAAGATGTGGACCTTATTTATACACACACACACACAAAAAAAAACACGTATTTTTTTGAAAGGTCGTCGAACATTATATTGTCCGATGCTGATTAGTTTATTGCCTTTCCTTCTAAGTATCATAGTTGGAAGTTCACTTATGATCCTCAATAGATGTAAGAAAACAATAAAGATGCAACTGAAATCATAAATGGCATGACAATACTTTTGAAAATAGGGTATGATAAAGATCCAAACAATAAGGTAAACAAGATTTGATGAATATTTATTAGATATCCACTATCTATTCTATGATAGACACAATTAAAAATAACCAGGGGTTAAAGAATACATAAAGAGAAATTCATTTTAATACATCTCGTTAATTAAAATGTGTATTTTAATGAGCCATACAATAGATGAATCACTGAGAAATGGAATTTAAAGTCACTTTGCCTGCCACTTGTTAGGTTCTCTCTCAATTCACTTGCAAAAGTTGAACACAAGTAGAAAAATATGTTCATCAAGCCATATTACAAAATCATGGAAACACAAGGTAACTAGGGAGAAAAATAGTTTATCATTTCTGCCACAAAGCTGAGTAACAAAAGACAAAAAAGAACCATTTCATGACCCTTCATCAATTTTGATTACTAAACGTGCAGGTACTATTTTATGGGGGGAAACACACACACACACACACACACAATCAAGTGGATTCCAAATCATAATGACTCTACATAGAATTCTAAGACTACACATTATTATGGGGGCAGTCAGCCTGATGTTGCTCCTGTAAGAGTGACCGGTAGTTTTAAATTGCTGACCGTGTGGTTAAGTTGCCCAACACCTGATTCACAGTGTCACCAGGGCTCCTGGGAAACTGGAATAGAAAAAACTCCCAAAACCAATGCTGAGAAAAAAGAATGTGTCTGAATGATGGGATAGGCCAAAGACCTTAAAAGTACCAAGGACTGCCAAAACACAAAGAAATCTGTACTGGACGGCGTAGTGCCAAAATACTGCTTAGAAACCATGGTGGCTTTTCCCGAGGCTCTTTGGCCTTCTGCTCGTCAGTATTGTGGTCTCAGTCGGTCTCTCTCTCCCCACCCCCCTCAGGTCGCCACATGTGGGAGGTACAGTCCGTGTTCAGTTAACTATAAAACCTGAAACTTCTTCAATCCTTCATAAAAACTCACTTGGATCACAAATCAGAGTATAGCACCATTTATGACAAAGGGATTGTTTCCTGTGCTTCTTCTCTGGGCTCAAGGATCCTTGGAAGCCTGTGCTGGGAGGGAAGGAGAACTTGATGTGCTTTTAAAGGGGAATTTGTTACCAATACTAATCTTCAGTTCTCTCTCTCTCTCCATTGTAAAACAAAGCCTGATGATACAAAAAGAACTCACTCTCTGCCATCAAGTTGATCCTGACCCATGGTTACTGTACAGAGCAGAGTAGATCAGTCCCTGTGGGTTTTCAAGGCTAATTCTTTGTGGGCCCCCCCCCCCCCCCCCCCCACCGCCAAAAAAAAAGGAACACAATGGTGTGACTTTAACCTCAAGTACATTGGACACGTCCTCAGAAGACACCAGACCCTGAAGGACATAATGCTTTGTAAAGCAGAGGGGCAGTGAAAAAGAGGAAGTCCCTCAACAAGGTAGACTGACACAGTGGCTACCAACAATGGACTCAAAAATAAGAACAATTGTGAGGATCATAAGGACAGGGCTGCATCTCATGCTGTTGCTACGGGTCAGACCTGACTTGATAGCACCTAACAATATTTTCAGACTAGATTAAACTGAAACTTTCAAAAATAAGTTACAAACTTCAAAAACACTTATTTAATAAAGTTTGGCTGATAACTGTAATGATTAAAATAACAAGGTCACCAAAAATTATATTTAGATCAGTTATTTCACTGTTAAAATAGTAACAAAAGAAACCAAAAACTACAAGCATTTTTTTTTTTAATTGTACAAGTTCATGAAAACAAATTTAAGGTCTCCTGCTGCAGCGCCGAGAGTGGGATTGCCCAGGAGCTCGTCTGGGAGCCGGACGCCGGGGACTGCGTTCAGAAAAAGGCAGACAAGCCAGACATGGGAGAAACTGCCAGCTTCGATAAGGAAGCTGAAGAACACGGAGACGCAGGAGAGCACCCTGCCGACCAGAGAGACCACTGAGCAGAAGTGGAGTGAAATCTCCGAATCCTGGAGGATCCGCCCCTCCATCGTCCACCAGACTGATGCGGAGGAAGAGTCACCTGCAAGATGGGCACGAGCGACAAGCCGCACTGTGAACCCACCAGCCTCCGGGCCTCCGAAGGGACTACCGAGTTCTCGGGTCTGCCCTGGGATACTAGAGGACATTGTATGATTAATGAAAATAAAACACACCTTGTGGCAAACGAAAATTTTTTTTAAATTTTCTCTAAAGTTGGAACATTTAAATATTTCTAGTTTTCAAACTGAATTTGTTTTATGGACTGTTTAATGCTTATCTTAAAATGGTATAGAAATGCTTTAAATAATGACATACAGATATTTTTGTGATTTAAAATACTTTTTTGACTTTGTGCTGCCCAAGTTACTGACTCAAAGTGTATACTCTGTGACTTCAAGAATTAAACAGAATTAAAGCACAAAATTTACCCAGCAGCACGCAACACAATAGATCTTAGACACTAAATATTTGCTTTTACTAATATTACTTTTACATTTTCTATATTCAATATTCAAATTTCTATATTTGTATATTAAAATGTATCAAACGATCTCTATGTGTCCATTAAGTTTCAACATAAAATACTTAAAATAGGAAGCTATTAAATTCAATGAAACTCTATAGTGCTAGAAAACTACCTTAAACTGTCCATAGTCGTATCTTAAGCACTGACTTTATTACTAATCATAAAACAGATAAACAATATACAAAAAGATATTCAATCTGAACCCCAAATTCCTTTTAAATAATTTGTGCTAAACCTATATACTCTATCAAACATGTGATTTTGGGGAAAAATATGAGCCACACGGTAAACACTTTAAAAATGTTTTGAAATATGTCATTTTTTTCCTAAAGAACACAACTGTTTGAAAATATGACTTATGATTTTTCCCCTAAAGAAAAGATAATGGGAGGCATTAAACAAACCAGTATTACATATTCTAGTGTCTTGCTCAAATCCATAAGTGTCAATTATAGAATAAATAAAACCTAAGTATTTCTCCATTCACCTAACTTCCCTGCTTGTGATCTTTGATATAACTAATCATAAGTCCACCTAGGTACCTAAGGAGGTCTGGCTTTCCAACTACTGGCTTTGCTTCATTCTTCTTTCGTCCCAGCAACACAATAGCATTGTTCTGTTTCTAACCATTCAAGTGTCAGTTTGCAAGAAAGTATACTAAAGGGTAATGGTAAAGAGAATGAAAGAAAAGGCAAAGAAAGGGGGAAGAGTGAGGATGGACACTGGGAGGAGAAAGGAAAATACCCATCTGCAAGGTTACTTGGGCTCCTCTCTCCTGTTGCCAGCCTCAATTCTACTGTCTCCAGAAGAAATCCTCATCTCTAGAACTACTGCCATGATAGCACCTTAAAGGCCCATGACCAAGCCTTAGAGACGACTGTGGGTTCACTACCGGCAAATCAAACTTGGATGCTTGAATGTGTTTTGCACTAAAGCTTTCTTGTAAAAAGTGACAACCTGTGATACCTAACCTTAAGGCTTTCTACTTTTGAAAGAATGAGTAACACAGAAAAAAGTAATAACTATAAACTTTCAAATTTTAAAATTTCATTAAATCCATGGCCTTTGCCAAAAGAGTGCTTGCCATAGTACTATACTATTCATACTGAATTTTAGTAATATCACACACAAAATAGATTTTCTCTGCCAGCCCAAGAGCTAAATCTTGTACAGTATTTTTTCTAAAGGAAAGTATATTGATTTTAAAAAATGGCTTTATAAATAGTTTTCAAACACAATCCTACTGTAAGCTGCTTCGAATGTATTTCTATGTTCATTTTCTTGAATATATAAAATGACTTTGTTTTTTAAAAAGTCCTTTTCATGCCAATAGGTATCACAAATAAAGAGAGCAGAGCTATTCAATTACCATGCCAAAATATAAAACCAGTTCCAGAAACGTATTCTAATTAGAAAAACCCTTACCCGTTATACATTAAAGAAAAACAAACCACACACACACTCAAAAACTAAAACCTGTATGATGTTTACTAAATGAGTCTTACTCTACTAATAAAGTATGGTAACACAAAACTGAAAAGGTCATTTAATTTACTTATAATTTACTATATTTACAGAAAACGAAAATTAAAGCATAGCATAATTTTCCTAACATTTCTTTCATTTTTATAGCACACTTAATTTTGCTATGTTCAAATAAACAATTCAGGGTAATTAATAAATTAATGGCGTAGAGAAACAGGTGTTAAGACATATCATTGTTCAAGTGCTTTCAACCAAAACTACAAATATACTTACTTATCAAAGCTATCACTATTTCTGATGAAGCTCTCCAGCTTTTCCTTGGCATATTCGACCACATCTGAATGAAGCTCAATCCCATGATTTATTCCAAAAGGACCTGCAATCGTAGCAGCAGTATTTTTATAAAATATTAATAATGTGCCCTTACAGAGCTCTTTTAATTTCTGCTCATTTTATCTACCACAGGACCACTTAAGGAGGGCTTGAAATAGGTGAACATGAATATTGACGTTGCTTTTTAAAGATAAAAGTTCCAATGAGTTTCCCGTCAAAAAGTTCTACTGTGCACAATGTTGTCACCCGCAGCATCCTCTCAAAGGAATATCGTATCTGGTAGAATTCTGCCAAGGCAATAAAATCATACTTCTGTGCTAATTTTAAGTTCCTTACCAATAGATCTCCACTTTCCATCAGCTAAGATTTCAGTAATTCTAAGGTGCAGGAAATCATGGACTTACATAGGGTGCATGTGTTATCCCTGCCTTTCTCAGAAAGCACTCAACTCGTCAGGTACCACAACTATACTCAAGTGTTTTGGAAGGTCCACCTATCCAGCAGACTGCAAACTGAAATTATCCCTAATCAATTTTACTATGAAGTCCACTTAATTTCTCACTTCGCACACTTGCTTCCTGCACACGGTCCAGGATCAAAAATAGCTGCCTCAAATGATCTTCAGATAATTTCCTACACTGGTACCAACTCACTGACCATTTCCCAAGGCTACGCACACTACAGTACTATCTGCCAGTCACATGCCTCACGTGAACATATAATCTCATCAAGTTTCTTTTTTAACTTCTGAAATTCAGAATCAAGTTTTTCTGTCAACATTTTTGCTGCCCTTTTGTTTTACTATGAGGCTGAGCTCTCAAAAAAATGAATGTATATGATTTTCTGTTGTCTTTTAGAAACTAGTAACTGATGTGGGCCCCACTTTGTCATTAACTATACAAAGCATTTTCAAGTAACAACAAATCATGACTATAAATGAGAAGCTTAAACATTCAAATAGCACATAAAATGTCTTATGAGCTAGGAAATATTCAATTTCTAATACTTAAATCAAAATGATTAACTACGGTCTTCAAGATGCAATCAGCTAAAGACAAACTGTAACCTAATGTATCTGCTTTGGTCTATCTATTTGATTGATACTCCCTTAAAAACCAAACAAACTATCCAACTGTCCTTGAAAACGGTATTTGGGTAGAAGAGCAGATAAAGGTTCGGGTCTC